ACATTTAAAAGCCACTTCCTGTGTGCACTGGCTCCTGCCTACCCCCTCACCACCCGCACTGCTGCCCGAGGGAGGCAGCAGGGGGAGGGGAGGGCAGGTGGCTCCACAGAACAAGCATGTGCAGAGAGCCCTCTTAAAAGCTGGCTCCCCATGGGCATTAGCTCCCAACTCCCCTTGTTGCCTCTGATAGAGAGGCAGCAAGGGGGGTAAGTGCATGTAATCATTAGCTGGCTCCTGCCTACCCCCTCACCACCCGCACTGCTGCCCGAGGGAGGCAGCAGGGGGAGGGGAGGGCAGGTGGCTCCACAGAACAAGCATGTGCAGAGAGCCCTCTTAAAAGCTGGCTCCCCATGGGCATTAGCTCCCAACTCCCCTTGTTGCCTCTGATAGAGAGGCAGCAAGGGGGGTAAGTGCATGTAATCATTAGGATTAATCCTGTAAACAACTACATGCTAACATCCCTAAAATAACAGTTACCAGTTGATTGGGGAGCAGAGGGAGTGGAGTAGACAGTGGGTTAGGACTTCAGCCAGAAACAGTGACTGTTGGGATGTGACCCTCAACAGTTTTACACCTTTCCATAAATTGTCTGCTTCGCTTCCTTCATGCCCAGAGGAAATAGAAGAGAACCTCTAGCTGATTCTCCTGGATCTCTGATTTAGACTAATTTGGTTCCTGCCTGAGTAACTCCTGACTGGATTGAAATCGTGTAGATGCTCCTGGCTGCAGATCACAGAAAATTCAGAGCCCCACCCCCCCCATCAATGCATTAGCAGTCCTTGGCCTTCCTCTGCTTTCAGGGTTTTTCTGCCATTCCCACACATCTCATTCTATTTCTGAACCTTGGTAAACAAACCTCGGAAAGCTTCTGGGAAATACGTCCTTCATTCAACTACACAGCTCAGCAAATCAACCCAGATCATATGCGCCACAATTTAACTAGTAATGTTTGCGGATCATTTGTTTTAATTACTTTTTCCCCAGTGTTCAGTAGAAGAGGATCCTGGAAACACCTGCATGCAGCTGAAGCAGCATAACTAAAGTCAAACACTTCACGGAAATGGGAAATTTTTCTGCCCAGGCTGTCTGGATTTGTCCCTAAAGATGAAGCTATCTGAAGACCCCTGTAAGAGCTCTGGATTTTCTTATACAACAGAATAAACTCTTTGGATAGCCTTGGAGTCCATGGGCCCTAAAAGCAGGTTGCCAAATAGGTCTGGCAAATCCAAAAGGACTTAGCTGGGAGGCATACTACAGAGGCAATAAAAAGAATAGGAAAGACACCCAGAAATTAAATATATAGCTCTCTAACATGTGCAGGTTTAGATCTTTCTGCATCAAATACATACACATTAACAGTCAAATCAAGACATCTTCAGGGTTTCATAAAGGATTACAGTAAATTTAACATTAGATTTTGCCCATTATAGATCTATTGAAAAAATACCTAATTTAAACCAACGAGCAGTCCTGTGGCACCTTAGAGACTAACAAATATATTACATCATGAGCTTTCATGGATAAAACCCACTTCATCAGAAGAGGAGGTTACTTACCTTCCTGAAACTGACGTTCTTCGAGATGGGCATCCCTGGGGGTGCTCTACAATAGGTGTAGGTGCGTCCCAGCACCTCAGGCGCTGGGACGTACCTACACCAACTGTGGAGTACCACCACGGACGTCTTTTGAAGAAGTGGGTTTTAGCCATGAAAGCTCATAATATATTTATTAGTCTCTGAGTGCCACAGGACTGCTCATTGTTTTTAATGTTACAGACTAACACAGCTATCACTGAGATTTAAACAAGTTAACTGATTTACTATTGACTGTCAGTACAAACACACTTCTTCATTAAGAGCAGTAGTAACACATTGAAATCCACTTGCAATGGATTGCAGATTATAAGAACCTGATTTAGATGCCTGTCACCGCCTAATAGATTAAGAATCTAAGATGCTGAATACAACTACAAGTCAGAGAATGAGTATCTCCAACATGAGACACACAGTTTCTGCTACCAACTCAGTTTTCACTTCCCTCCCTTGGGGGGTATAAAGCCTAACTACAATGGCATAAAATCAAACTAAACAGACTGAAATTTCCATTACAGTTTCCTGTGGATGAAATGACCTAGCTGGTTTATGAAAAATCAACCACGTTAGATCAAAATACTTGTTATGGAGAACGTCAACCTGCTCACTTATAGAAAATCTTGGGCAACGTCAGCACCACGAGTGTTTTTCAACACTACTTCTGCCAGTGTTTACTCTTACCAAATGACTGCCATGGGTCAGATGTAGTAGCTGTAGCTGCAGATCCTCCCCAGGGGTCTTTCTGGTTTGCTCCAGCTGTGGGTCCCCAAGGTTCAGTTTTCTGGGGGGCTGGTGCTGATGAGGGCAGTGCGTCCATGAGATCCAACAAAGTTGTATGCTGTGGGAAGAAATATTTTTAGGCTTTAATCAAGACGACTTCTACCCTGAAGTAGCATGTCCATCATACCACAAAGCAATATTTTGTTCTGTTACACACCTTCACTGATCAGCTGCCTTGTCTTTAGCCTGCATGAATGAATCACATCTACCACAACAAAATCCCAAAAGCATATACAAGCTCAGATTAAGCTATGTTTGACTGTATCTCATCATTTTGCAGCATAACCAGGAATTTCTTAATTGAAGGCACTACCTCCTTCTTTTTGGGAATTTTAATAGTGTCTCTGCGACTCTCCTCCAGAGCCATCTGTAATCTCAGATCATCTCCACGTCTGAGGCGCTCCTCCTGCAAAAGAAGACACACTGTTGATACTGTTGGGCTAGACTGTGTAAAATGGTGCAGTCTGCTCCCTCCATGTGCTTAGCCCACTTGGCAGGCCAGTGCAGGGAGAAGGCCTACAATAGCCTCAACTCTTGCCAACCCCCTTTGGAACAATTTGCATCAGAGATGTGCAGTGGGTTACAAAGGACAGATTGTCCCTTGCATGTGACATGATGAGGGTTCCTTGGGCATCTCTCCTCACTTAGGCACAGGCCGAAACTACCTAACACTCATTCTCTAATATACAGTCCACTTGAAATCTCAGTTGAAAACTTGATTTTATAACTTTCCCAGAATGAGAAACCAAAAATGGCTTGCTTAAACTGATAAAGAAAGAATTTAAAGAAAAAGCCAATATTCCATCTTCAAACTACTATGAACCATTATTATGGGGCAGCCGTTTTAACTTCAGTTTTCCTAGCTTTTGTCACTCTCTCTCAACATTTGATAGAATTGTTAGGACTACAAGGAACCAAGAATCACTCTAGTGAGATCCATTTTTTTTTTGTGGGAGTCTAAAATCTTCGGGCCATTTCTAATTGGTTCATATCAAATTCATCTCAAATGGTTTTGATTCCATCACCACTTTCTGAATTTGATCTTATTCCCTAATTGTTGTATCTTTTCTATTTTAGTTTAAATTAATTATTTCTAGCTTTATAGTTAAGCGAGAAAAAAATCATCTTCCTTGTTGTATCCCTATTCGAACAAAGACTTTTATATTGAATGTACAGTTATAAACTGATGTTTGAAGATCATTATGGAAGTATCTGGCATGATTCCATAATTAAGGATAAGTTCTGAATGTATAGTTGAGATGCAACCCCTTTGTTATATATAGTCTCCCCAATACTACAGCATTTACTGTGAATACAAAATACATTTTCTGTGAATTACAAAAAAAAAAAAGTCAGACTAGCTGGAGGTAAAATTAATTAAAAATTAGCATTTTAAGAAATTTAGTATTACAGGTCACCTTTTTATTTGTCCCAAATGATCTTAACAGAACACCACACTCTTCAATTTTAGCAGTTTATAGTTACAACTCACTGAAATTTTGTATGCTTGCCACATTAGCAGGAGGTTTTTGGGGGGTTTTTTTTGTTTGTTTTTTTTTGCAATAATTCTTCATAAATGAGAGTCCAGGAGAATAATGTTCTTCCAGACAGGAGGTCTCATTTCAAAATGGCTGCCATGTCTTATTCTCAATGGGTTTAACAGTTATTACCTTGCATAGTTCCCAGGGGAATGGGACCAAACAGCATTCTTGGAAGATGGTGTTCCTCTTTGCAGTTAGTGCATAGACAGAGAATGATTATAATAGACAGGATACTGACCTGCTCTGCAACTTCTCTGCTCATTGCTAATGCAAGCTGCAGCTGGAGCTCCTCCTCTCCACTTGTCTGGGGTCGTGCTTGCTCTAGCTCTGAAGAAACTCGAGGGGATGTAGCTGTTGAAAGAACAAAAACATATTGTGTGTGTGCCACCCACACCCACCCCTTAGGATATCTCTTAGCATACCTGATTATAGAAATGAAAGGCAGTGCAAAGAGTTAAAGTTGCTCTTACAAGCCAAGACACTGGTCCTTATCCTAAGAGACACTAAGGACTCGCCACACCTAGGCCGTGTCCAGACTCAGGGGTTTTTTCGGGAAAAGTAGCCTTTTCCTGAAAAAACTTCCCCTGCGTCCAGACTCAAGCCGCGTTCTTTCGATGGCGGTAAACCTCAATTTACGAGGAAGAACGCCTTCTTTCGAAAGTCCCTCTTTCGAAAGAAGGCGTTCTTCAATGTAAATAGGCCGTCTTCGAAAGAGAGCATCCAGACTCGCTGGGTGCTCTCTTTCGAAAAAGCGGATTTCTCTTTCGAAAGATCCGCCTGCAGCCTAGACGCGATCTTTCGAAAGAGGCTCTTTCGAAAGAAGCCTGCAGTCTAGACATAGCCCTACTGGTGTAAAATGAGAGTACAATATGCTCCGCACCTTGAAGGATCCTTGGATGTGATCTGTCAAGGAGCTGAGCATGTTCTATTTCCTTAATGTCAACAAACAAGATGACAGACATTCTAATGGGAGCTTTCTGAAAGTTTGATAGCTTACAGGAAAATTGTGCTTGGAAAACAAAGAATTAATTTATTTACAAGGATAATAATATCAAGAAATACTGAATAACTGACTACAACAGCTGGATTTATCACTTCAGCAAATGAAAAGCTTTAGAGATAGGGGTCGCTGGTTTCATAATCTGTGGTTAATCATTCAAGAGATGTTTTAAATACCTGTAACATGTACAAACGTTACAGTATAGTCAGACTTTGCTGAGAGTCAGCCAGCATGAAGGTAAGAAGGGGATACCTGCTGCATTTTTATAAGCTAATATACAGTCTTGGTCTAGACATTTACGTAATCTATTCACGTACAGTTTATAAAATAGTAATATTCTCTGCAAAAAACATTTCAAACAATGATCATTTAAAAAAGATTAAAAGTTTAGTATTAGGAAATATCTTAAAGATAGGATGCAATATTTTATAAAATCCTCGTTTAAAGAAAATAATAGCAGGGATAGATATTTGTATTATAACCACTACAGAATTCTATCTAAAATGTCAAGAATTTATCTTCTGAGAATTAGTTGCAAATTAGACTGGCAGGTCTTTATACAGAGATGAAAGACTCTGTGCTAAAAAATAAATACTTGTGTCAAAACTGCCTTTTTATAATTATAACATTTGTATTACAGGAGCAACCAGACTCTCCAATCAGGTTTGGGACTCCATTATGTTCATTGAATTATTGAGTTTTTGTAGTCTGTCATGGTTTATTCGGTGTACATTTAAACATTCATTTTTCCTGCTATATGGGTAATCCAGCTTTATATGCAAATTATCTTTTACTTTTTAAAATAAAATACTAACAGATTATGGAAGATTTCTACTGTTAAATAACTTGTGTCTTGGTAAAATTATGTTTTTTCTAAATAGCACAGCTTAGTGTTTTAATGATCATTTATCAGTCTAATTTTTAAACACAGTTTTTAGTCACGTTTTATAAGTGAACTATCCCCTTCACCGGATTCAAGCCAATAACATTCCTGAATTGATATAAATGGCAATTTTCCCCCAATCCTTCTTTTGGATGGAAATTCACCTAATCCTTACCTCCCTACTCACAGAATCAGCATACCACTTCCACTGCATTCCAAATCTAAAGGAGTGATGGATGAATTTAAAGACCTGAGCTACATATTCTTACACTATACTGATCCTTGGACTGCCAAACCACTCAGCCAGGCCCACCACTTTCAATTCCAGTGATATTTATATTATTTAACCACGGCAATCTTTGCCAATCTTACCCCATTCTCAGACCTCTTCTCCATACACCTAAGTTTTGTTTGCATCACAACTACTCTACTCTTTCAAAAACCAAGGCCAAACAAAATCTTACACAGAAAGAATGTCCAATTCTCCACAGATTATAGCATGGCAATCACTAAGAAAATGGATCTCCACTCTTCATTTAAATGCATTTCTCATTCAGTTATACACATACTCATCTGAATTTCAGAGGAGTTGCATCCTTATGTCCCTACATTTGGAGGTAAGAACATAATTCTTCTAGATCACTGATTTTTCAACCCTTTTGCTTTTGTGGATGCCTAACAAATTTTGAATGGAGATGAAGGCCCCTTTGGAAATCTTGGACATAGTTTGCAGATCCCCAGAGATCCATGAGACTCAGATTGAAAGCTACTGTTCTAGATAGACCAGCTCTGAACATATAAAAAAGGCTCCAAAATGTTGCCAAGTGCATGAATGGCAAAGGGGAAGCAAAAAGATACTAAATAAGACACTAAGTAAATAACCAACTTCATTCTTAATCACCACATAATTCTTGCTTAAAAAAAAAACAAAAAAAAAACTTCCAGCTTCTACCTTCTGAGTTTTCTTTTAGTTCTCTGGAGATGCTTTGGTAAAGAAGGGAGTCATGCACTCCAATATCTGCCTCTCTAAGTTTATATTTGGGCTCTGTTAAATATAGCATGCCAAACAATTGCAGCTGCCACACAAGATCCTGAAAAAAAGCAGCCTGAGATAACAGGATAGTCCCATGCTAAAGCAGTGGTGGGAAAACTTTTTTGGATCAGGGACCACTGACGTACAGAAAATCAGTCAGGGGCCGCACACAAGTGAGAAGCAACCCACCAGCGCAAAACAAAACAAAAAACAAAACAAAAAAACTCTGACAGAGGCTACCTGTAGACTGCAAGCCTCTTTCAAAAGAGTGCGCCTAGACTACAACCAGTACTTTCAAAAAAGCAAGCCGCTTTTTCGAAAGACAGCGTCCAGGGAGTCTGGATGCTCTTTCGAAAAAGCAGTTTTTGCATTTCATAGCGCCTTTTTTCAAAAGAGCACTTTAAAAAAAAAGGCGTTATTCCTCGTAAAATGAGGTTTCCCATGGTCGAAAAAACTGCCACGTTCTTTCAATTTACTTTCAAAAGAATGCAGCAGGAGTCTAGACGCAGGGGAAGTTTTTTCGAAAAAAGGCCACTGAGGCCAAAAGGCCAATTTTTCGAAAAAACCTTGTAGTCTAGACACACCCAGGAGAAAGACACTCCCCTCATTCCTCTCACACACCAGAGCCTGGGTGGGAGGGGGGCCCGCAGGCTAGTAGAGTGTGTGTGCTTCAGCCCCATGGGGAGATGATGGGGAAGCTGGAGCACCAGGGCAGGCTCCCCAGTGCTGAGGGGAGCCTTGAGGGCCGAATCCAGACAAGCCAGGGCCCACATCCAGCCCCCAGGCCTGAGGTTCCCCACCCATGTTAAGGGCTCTGCAGAGTGGTAGCAATATCCTACCAGTGACTTTCGTGACAAGCGGGGAAACCTGTGAGTAGCATTAGTGTAGTATGTTCTCTTCAGTATTTTTGTTCTAAATATGCAATGCAGAAGTTGCAGCTTCTTTCTAAACATCTAATACAATCACAGAGAGAGTGAATGACAACAGTATGGCCTGAAATACATGGCTATTTGAGAATGGATATACTTGGGTCACTGTTAGAAAAAAAATGGAGTGTTCTTGCTACCCAAAGTTGGAAAGCCATTCTAAATGATCAACATCAGTACAGGGCAAGGCGAGCTGCTCACGATCTTGAACTTGCATAGTACCACATACCCCCTGGGTAATCCTCAAAATACTTCTCTTCCAACCAGCATCAGTCTAGCCTAACCTGATATTTTAAACTAGCTGTTCCTGATCCAGCCTAGGCCAGACAAAGGACAAAGGCATATCATCAGTATACTACTGGCATCATAGCCCTACGTAGCTCTTCTCTTGTCTTTTACTAGGGATGTAAAATCCTGTTTAATTGGCTAACCAGTTAAATAATAAAGGGAAGGGCTGGCGGATCATTCCTGCCAGTCTGGAGGCCCCTCTCCCTCCGCCACAGGCAGGGGCTGTCCCAGCTACTTCCAGTTCTGCTGAATCGCAAAGAGGTCTAACCAGGAAAAACCCGCACCACTGGAAGATGTTATGGAGGACATCCAGCCAAAGCAACCACTCATGGGCAAAGAAACACGTGCTGAGGTGATCTACCAGCTGCTCCTGGGTTCCAGGGTGGTAAGGCACTTCCAGGTGAACTGGGTGAGCTACACACAAGTCCCACACGCAAAGGGTTTCCTGGCAAAGCAAGGAAGATCATGCACCACCCTATTTGTAATTTATGGCGGTCGTGTTGTCTGTCAGGACCACCATATTCTTTCCCCAAATGTGAGGAAGAAAAGCCAGACACGAAATGATTCCAGACCAGACATAGTGGAAATGGGATAGTCGGTCTCTGAAAGGGAAATGATCCAGTTGCATCGGTACTCGGTCCTCAGGCACACCTTCCAAAGGCCTGCTTGAACCCAGAGGGAGACTTGGGCTGGCCCTGGTTGTTATCAGACCATGGTCCAAGATGGCTTGCGATGGGGGTATCAAGACCGCCAACATGAAAAATCAGTTCTGGGTCTGAATGGGAAGGGCCTCTGTGGAGGCTGAGGCTTAAAGATCTTCCTTTGGGAGCCAGAGTGTGCATACTTAAAGATTTCATGTATTGCATGAGTCTTTGAAGCTGTGAAGGCCAGAGTTGGTCTGATCTGCAAAAAGGCCCCCTTGTCGAAGGGAAGGTCTTGGATGGTCTGCTGCACCTCTAGGGGAAGGCCCAAAGGTTGGAGACACGCCACTCACCTCATGTCAGTACCAGAGACCAAAACCTGTGTTGCCAAGTCCCTAGCGTCCAAGGGTGCCTGGATGCAGGTGTGGGAGACTGCCTTGCCATCCTGTACGATAGTCAAACTCAGTACAGGAGTCCTGGGGAAGCTGGTCCTGGAACGACCAGGCATTACAATTATAATGGCTTAGAATAGGCTAAGACTGTGTGCCTGGTGCCAGTTCCAGGCGATGTGGATCTAAGG